AACACGACTCAAAAACTTGGCTTCTTAACTGTGCAGCCCCAGCTAGCTCCAAGCACCAAAGGCCATGGCCACAGCCTTCTCTGCATCCTTCCTAAATGTGCTGTTTCTTTGCCTTCTCCCGTCTCTCTTCCCACCCCTGGCCGCTCCCCAAACACATACTCTCACCTCCTGGATCTGTCCTCTCGCTCTTCCCCACCTCTGTCTGGAGTGAACAGCAAGTTCTCTGGTCCGTCACATGTCAATGGGAGAGCAACACCTTGACCTTTTAAACTCAAGTGCAAGGACTTACATGGCACTGCCACCCTGGCTGGACTTGGCCTCCGCTCAAAGGTTTTCACGATGGGTGTGACAGCCGGACCCTTCATCTGATGCTGGTCCCAAAGCTGAGTTTTCATTAACCTTTGTCACTCCAAGTCCCTCCTGGCACTACATTTTACATATTGAACTAAGAAGCGGTAGGTACTTCTAATTCCGTACACGCTCCAATTTGGGGGATTCTCTTTATTACTTTTATTCTTGTTTGCAAACTGGCCAATTCTCTTCTGTGCTTACTTCCTTCTTCTGGTACTGAACCAGCAACAGTGACCGACACACACTCCCAAATTTCTGCACCCCCAATTCCAATGCATAGGCTTCTCCCATACTACCGACCAATCCTCTGACACCAGCTGGCTGTCCACTCCATCCTGATGCTATCTACCCAGAGGTCACGACGGATGTCCCAGGTTAAGGGCTCAGCCCCGCAGGACACACCCCACCTCAGATGTCATCTGTGCTTCTGACGGGCTCTAAACCAAGGGTTCCCATGGCACCTTCTTGGGTTCAATTAATTTGCTAGAGCGGCTCACGGAACGCAGGAAACCAAGTTCAACAGACTGACGCAGAGACCCACAAGGTGGCGCCCTGAACAAAGCGCCTGTGCCTGTGCTTCCAAAATCGTCGCGAGTGGCGGGCGAAGCCACTGAAGAGTGACCCGCTGTCACTCTTCAGTCGCCTTCCGCAAGTGGCCTGTGCCACTGCCATTCACATACTATTGGCCATGCCTAGCTTCAAAGAAGAAGTACAGCCCTACCGCCAGGAGGGCCAAGAACAAGGACGTTTCGGACTAGGACACGGGACAGGTTACAGAATGCTTCTGAAAACTTTATCCAGTAGAACCAAACACAATATATGCGACTTCCTAAACACCAGGGGAGAGACGGGCAAAGAAAGCTCAGTCCACCTAGCTGAGGAAAAACATGGACGCCTTAAAAAACAGAAGCCGTAAAAGGCAGCGATGGGACTGAAGTCCAGAGTTAGCACTTTTGAAAATAAATGTGAACGGCTTAAACTCTCAGATTGGTTGAATAAGACAAAGTCTAACTGTAGAAGAGAAAACAAAGTGACACAGAAGGTTACACCGAGGGATGGAAAACTGTATCTCACAGGCCGAATCCAGCCAGGGCCACTGTCTATTTTTAGAAATAAAGTTTTATTGGAACACGGCCATGCCCATCTGTTTACATATGGTCTATGGCTGTTTTCTGTTGAGTAGTTGCAACAGAGACCACGTGGCCCACAAATTCTAAAATATTTACCTGCCTTTTTACAAAAAAAAAAAGTTTATAGACTCCTGGGCTAAACAATAAAGGACAGAGATATATATATACACATATATACAACAAATATGTATATCACAAATATATTTATATATATTACAAACGGGAATAAATCAATAGTCATAATATCATTAAGTGGAAATGTCAGCCTTCCTTAAGTGTGCAGAAAGTCCCTGAGTGTTAAAGTGGCGGGTAGCCTATGGCCATGCCACCCTGAGCGCACCCGGTCCCATCTGATCTCGGAAGCTAAGCAGGGTCGGGCCTGGTTAGTACTTGGACCATTTAGGAAAACCAGGAGCTGTAGGCGTTAAAAAATAAAATAAAATAAAAACATAAAGTAGGGGGTAGATACACAAATGATGCAGAGGAAGGAATCAAAGCCGACCACTAAAGAAAATTGTCACATCACAAAGGAGGACAACGAGAGAGGAGGCAGGGGACAAAAGAGACACAAAACACAGAAAACGATGAACAAGACAGCAACGGGAAGTCCTTATCTATCAGTAATCACGTTAAATATAGCTTTATTGGAACAAATTAAATTCCTCCAATCGAAAGACGTAGAGTGGCTGAATGGATTGAAAAAAACAAAAAGACCCAGCCCCTTCCTCTCCTGCCCCACATCAGGCCCCCAGCGATGCAGTCAAGGCAAATAACTTAACACTGAACCCAGGAAGGAACGAGCATGTTGCCTTTGAAAGCAAGCGCTCACAGTGTGGATGGCACATTTTAATTTTCCAAGTCCAGAGGATGGTAACTAAATTGATAAAGGGGTCTAGTTACCAACTGTATCGGTCGATTCGATAAATATTTGCTTAGCGCCAGAATAAGTACTGTGACTTACCCCGTGTTAAGAGAACAGCTGGCTGAACTGTGGAAAATCCCCCCGTTAAATTAAATTTGGACAGGTCCTGATCGCTAGCTGTCTCAAAGAGTCATTGAACAGAAAACAGAGTGGTAGTACTCAATGAGGACTGTCATGGGTCAGTCAGAACAGGAGATGCGAACGTAAGTAAGAAAGAGCTCCCTAGTGACCAGAACTTCGTGGAGTAACAGAAAGTGTGACTCGTGAAACGACAACGGCCCTGTCACTGCTTGCCGTCAACGCCTGAGGCGCATGCGCGAGGGTGCGATGAGGAGAGCTCCTTCGTTTGGTGGATCAGACTCGACGAGAGGCCCTCTTGGTTTCCTTCCAGCTCAAAGACCTGCGCCTATAATTCCTCCTGGACTGTGACAGAGAACCCAAAGCCCAGGTGTTCTATGCAAGTATTTTTAAATATACAAAGGTATAAAGTTAAAAGCGTCATCTCCGATAGTTCCATCAGCCAAATGCGATAATAAATAGCAGTTTGAAATGTTTCTTGTTGTAGTTACAGCCTGTTTTCTGTGCTCATAAGTTATGAACATTAACTAAACATCGCTTTCGTTAAAAATTTTCTTAACATAAATGCATTAAAATTTTATTAACAAAATGATCCGAAGTGATTAAAATCCTTCAGCTTGTGACAAGCGAATTAGCCATGTTACTGATTTCCCGAAATACCTGTCATACTTCCCCAGTCAGTGTCAATGATTGGGTTGAAAGGTTTCAGCATCAGGCATCAAAACGTACTGCAAATCAGTCCTGTGGGTGCCCTAAACCCCATCGGATTAGACACAGTTTTTTTTAAACCCAATTTTTTTAACCCAGATTGGAGGAGTCATGGGAAAGGATTATAAATGAATCACTTCAGCAAGCTATAAAAGTCTTTACACTCCTGTGGAATGACCTTGTCTTCAAGAAGACAGAGGGAGAAATTTATCTTCGCTCATCGAGGAGCTGAACTTAAACTCGAGTTTCCTTCTTTCCAAAGGTTGGTCTCTTACCTTTGCCTTCACATACATATTGCTTTGTGGGAATAGTCAATAATATATTTTATCTGACTATAGACATATGGTATAGTATTCTTACTGTTTAGCTATGTTAGCGAGTACAAAGAAAAAGTAGGGAGGTTTAGAAATTAACTTACTCAAATACGATTCTCAAGGCATTTATCAGTTGTCGGCTGAGTCTCAAATCTTACTAGGTGCGTATCACTCAGCAAAATGAGGCAGACAGAATAATAAATAATAAAAAGATTGCGAAATGCAGTAATGGAGACCAATACAAGGCATGGCGTGGTCACCCCCAGCATGCGCCCAACCATGTCTGAGAAGCTCAGGGAAAGTTTCACACAGGAGGTGACCCGTAGAAAGGAAGGATGTTACTACAGCGGAACCGGCATCTGACGAGAATGGCGAATTCAGTACTTAGAGGCAGGCAGGGTCCAGGTGGTCACTCAGGGTGGTGGTCCAACAAGGCGGAGGCTTAATTTGCATGTGTGTCAACCTTAATGGTTACAATATGGTGTCTTTAACTGCATCTGCGCTGCCCGTCCTTGAGATTGAAGCCTTGAGGCCAAGGACTGAGTCACATTCTTTGTGGCCTCTGCAAAAGGCACAGTACCAAGTCTGCAGTTGGGGACATCAGTGTCGAACAAATAAGTAAATGGGTAAATGAACAAGTGAATAAGCGATGAGGCTCAGAGATACTTAGTATTGATACTTAAAATAATGATTTCAGTTTTTTCCTCTTAAACCATTTTCAATACATGCGTTTTATTTTTCTAATTTTTTATTGCAATATAAGTGGCATGTGACACTGTAATTTTAGGTATATGGCGTATTAATTGATATTGTTATATATTTCTACTTTCTCTGGTCTTATTTTCTCCTACCAAGGAACTGCTACCCCGCGGCTCCCGCAAAGTCTCTCTGGCAAACGTCACTATGGCCACTGCCTTGGCACATCTAATGGCCCCGGGTCGATCCACACCTCACTGAATTCAGCACTGTGAGACGGCCCGTGGTTTTTCTCATAGTCTGTTATCTCACTTCTGCCAACACTCATCTCCCCTGTCTGGAAAGTCGCGCGTGCACACGCACACGCACGCGCACACCATCCACCCTTCTGGTCTCTCACCTAGCTAATTCCTATTCGTTCACCCCCTTAAGTTTCAGCATGTGTGTCACTTCCTCCGGCAGGACAGGCGGGCATCCCTTCCCCAGACTGCCTGCCTGTACCACACACAGTAGATGGTAATATTGTATTTATCGCATAGCCTGGGAATTACAGGTTGTGTTTCTTTCTCTGATTATATAGAGCACGTTTTTATGAAATCGATCCATTTCTGTATGTTTTTGTGTCCCTTATACCTATCATAGCCCTTGACAGCTAGTCAACATATTGGTGTAATCACTGTTGATAAGAATAATTAAAACAGGGCGGCAAGCTCTAGGTCCTTGTGACAAAGTAGTGTTTTATTCCAACGGAATGAGTGGTAGTGACAGAGCTTTGCACTGCTGTCGCCCAGCTGAGACATCATGGCCAAGAAGAGGATTGCCGTGATCGGAGCTGGAATTAGTGGCCTGGCTGCCATTAAGTGCTGCTTAGATGAAGACCTGGAGCCCACCTGCTTTGAATGGAATGACGATATTGGCGGTCTCTGGAAATTTCAAGTAAGTTTGCCTTTTATTTGATCTTAAGCAGGTAACTTTTTAAAATACTTGTAACAATCTGGATGACGGCTTTCCCAAACAGGACATACGGTGTACCACATTTGAAGACTAAATTAATTATCTTAATCTTGCTCGCGTTACTGACTGGGGAAATATGTAAATATATGTCCATTGCAGATTTAGGTATGAAATTTATAGGACTCCATTCTTGGTAGCTGAGAGTCCATGTGACCATGGCAAATATTAGAAAGGGACAGTAGTTGAAGATTCTTTCAACTGATGAGAGTATTGTCCCCAAGGTTAGGGATGTCACCAATGTTTTCCGCCCGACATAGCATGAGTACAGGGTGGTTAGGGTAAAGTTTCTCTTTCATGGTTTGCGTTTTTGTGTTATGAATACGCAATTCTATCCCAAGGTCTTGAAGAAATTCTGTGTTTTCTTTCAGAACCATTATTGCTTTACCTTTAAGGTTTGAGTCTATAATCTAAGTTTAATGACTCTTTGTATATAGTAAGATATAGGGATCAAAATTAACTTTTTTCTCATCAGATACCCCGTGGATACAGCACTATTTATTGTAAACATCATCCTTTCTTCCATTGAATTAAAATGGTGTCTTTTTTTTTTAATTCGTGACTGTTCGTGTGTAAATTTATTTTTTAACTCTTCACTGGCCTATTTTTCTATCCATGTACCACTATCTTAATTACTCTTTTTTTATGGTAAAGTTGAGTGTTTTTGTTCTTTTTAAGGACTGTCTTAATTAGATGTTAACGTTAATGTTATGGCACCTGTTTATATTTCTAGTGTTTGTCACTCCTTCTTGTGTCTGCATACTTCCATTCAGTTCATTCCCACTGAGCCCGAAGAACCTCTTTTCACGTTTCTAGAAATGCTGAATTGCTGGCAACAAATTCTCTCAGCTTCTGTTTGTCTGAATAAGTGTCCATTTGACTTTCAGTTTCGAAGGGTATTTTCACTGGATACAAGAACCTAGGTCAACATATTTTTATCTCAGCATTTATTTTAAACATATCCTTCCATCGTTTCTGACTTCCATTATTTCTGTTGAGAACTCAGCTGTAAGCCCTATTGTTCACTCCATGTCACCTTTTTCTCTAGAAGAGATGGGACTGAGGGAGAAAATATTCATTGAGAAAAAAAAAGGCAGGGTACTGCTTTATTATACCTGCAACTATTTTTCTTCTTTCAAATATTTTATTTTTGATTTTCTTGGTATTGCAAGATTTATTTTATTAAGAAAGGTTTTCTCCTGCAGAAAAATACTTTGGAGAGAAGGCCCAGTATCTACAAATCTGTGACGACCAACACTTCCAAGGAAATGATGTGCTTCAGTGACTTCCCGTTCCCCGAACACTACCCCAACTACATACACAACTCCAGGTTCATGGAGTACTTCAAGATGTACGCCGAACACTTCGGCATCCTGAAGTACATCCGTTTTAAGGTAAGATACAAATGAAATATTACACGTGCATGTGTGCATGTATGTGCAGACACACTCATGTGTGCACACCCCAGAGCTCCACTTGACATTTCCTAGTGTGATCACAGGAAAAGACCATTAGTGAGCGTCTGCCCTAGAAAACCATCACTTATAGTGAAGTGACATTTTGAAGATCACACGCGAGGTTGGAGAGTTTTGCTGGTTATGATGATGCTTTGATGTAGCATGGTAAGGGTCCTCTCTTTTTGCCTTAAATTCAAAGTGTGGAAGGATTTATAGTCATGGTGGTCGTGACTGAGCCAAATCATACAGAACCAGGGTCATGAAAAGGACACGGGAAAGATTCAGATCTGTGCAGTTCCTACCACCTACCTACAGCCACCGCCGTCAACATGCACATAAAACCCCGCCCAACGGTCATGGCGTGGCATGAACTCGTCTCTGGAACTCCGAAGTCAAGCCCAGGGCAGTGGGCCTGGCCCATGCTGCCGCGTGAAAGCCACAAGGAATACTATTTTCTTTCATTAGGACATCTTCCTGGAAGGAGACTATTATTCCTGTGGCGTCAGTCACTTCTTTGTGTTTTCACAGTTAAATCTCAACTATTTCTATTTCTATGGAAAATTGGTTTTCTAATGAACTACCCATTATATCTTGAAAATTCCTGTCTCGGTCCATTTGGGATGCTCTAATAAAATACCACAGATGCGGGGGGTGCTTCTAAACAGGAATTTGTTTCTCACAGTTCTGGAGGCTGGAAGTCTGAGACCGGGGTGCCAGCGTGGTTGGGTGGGGGTTCACAGCCAGTGGCTTCTCTGTCTGTCCTCACCGGATGGAAGGGGCTAGGGAGCTCTGTGGGCTCTTTTATAAGGGAGGGGCTCCACCTTCAAGTCCTAATCACCTCCCAAAGTCACCACCTACTAATACTGTCACCCTTGGGAATTAGGATTTCAGCACATGAATTCTGGGGACACAGACATTGAGACCATAACATGCACCTGCAGCAAAGTCATGACGGGAGTACCCAGGAGAGGGGGGCTGGATGGGGTGAACGCCTCAGTTGAGGTGTATTGTGCAGGTCTGTGGGTTCTGGGGGAGGAGGAATTAAACCCAATGATTGTGTATGATTTGTGCTTGTGCCCTTGTTCTCAGACCAAGGTACAGAGCGTGAGGAAACGTCCAGATTTTTCTCTCAGTGGACAATGGGATGTGGTCGTGGAGGCAGACGAGAAACAGGAGACCCTGGTATTCGATGGGGTCTTGGTCTGCAGTGGCCATCACACGGACCCCTACCTCCCGCTCCACTGCTTCCCAGGTGCGTCACTCGCATCTGTTTGGTAGCAAAGGACTTGCCAGAGAGCTTACTGAGCAAAATAACTGAGCATCACGACCAGAATTAATGAAATGTTTCTGGGGTTCATTCACTAAGATGCACTAACTGCCCAACCCTGAAACACACGAGCAAGAGAAGGCAACCACTCCTATTTTTTATTTACTATCGTTTCATATAGCTTCTAATAAATTTTTTTAAAAAAATAGCTCCCACTTAAATGGTATTAGTTTTATGCCAACTCATTTGATCTCACTCCCCTCCAGAGAAAATGAAATTAAAAAATTCAGGGACGAATGACAAGCAAAACCAGCAAAAAGTTAGCAAAATCCACAGACTTAGGAATCCGATTGTCTGTAATATGAAGACGAGTATGGGGTTAGAGCTGAAAGTAACTCTCATTTATCATGTATTTTCACTGATTTGTTTAAAAAAAAAAAAATCCAGCTTACTGCCGCCTTTGAATTCTGTGTGGTAAAACAGTGCCCATTTAAATTATTACTTTAAGAAGCGGATACTCCCCGCTAAGGAAACGCTGTCTGTCCCTTTCCTGCGACTCCACTTGCCCTCCCTTTTCCATCCGTCATCGGGAGTCAGTCGAGGAATATGTGATGTCTCAGTGTCCTTCTATGTCGCCTAAAAAGCCATCACAAGACTCTGTGGGGCTGAGGCGAACTGAGGCTAAAGGAGTCCCGAACGGAAGCCAAAGAACCTAAACTTGGATTTTGCTCCTCCAACTTGCTAGCTGAGCGAAGTACGACACATACCGAACTCTTCTGTGTCTGTGCACCCACACAGCCTTCTGTAAAATGAAAGCACTTGACCTTCCGAATGTTAAAATGCAATATGTTCTGAAAATTATGATACAATTATGATATGACTCATATTGTTTAGTAACCGTTACATACCTGTCAGCTTCATTTGGACTCACTTCCTTGCTCAGACCCTCCCTGTGTAGAGAGACGGGTCTATCTGGATGGGTTTTGTGGGGGAAATGCGGGTGCGTGGCAGACGCGAAGTGAGGGCTCAGCAAAGCCAGGGGCGCCTGAGGCCGTCAGGCACTTGGAAGGCAGAAGAGGTGTCAAATTGATGAAGAAAGGCCCTGTCCCTCCACAGGGAACGGCAAAGCAATGGGCCCCCCACCGGTGTCCTGCTTCACCGTTCTGCTTCAGACTGCACAGAACAGTGGAATGAAACTAGATCACCACGAAAGTGGTGGGAAACTTTCGCCCTGAATAGGCCCAAGGCAGATCGACCAGTCATGACCTCATTGGGTCACTAATCTGTATTTGGAACCCACAGGTAGTGATTTCGAGTTTACTCCCTCTCTCCTTGAGTTATGGGGACTATAAACTTAACTTTTTTAGGGCACAGGGTGACATTGAATTTATGGATGCAGACTCACAGTCTCGCCTTTTCAGGGGATGCAGAACACGGCCTTCCCTGTTGAGTCGGCCATGCGACAAGGACTCGCATAACAAGAAATTCTCTTCTCCCGCCACAGGCATCGAGAAGTTCAAAGGCTGTTACTTCCACAGTCGGGAGTATAAAAGTCCCGAGGCCTTTTCAGGAAAGAGAATCATCGTGGTTGGCATCGGGAACTCTGGAGTGGACATTGCAATGGAGCTCGGCCATGTCGCAAAGCAGGTCTGCTTGCTAGGAAACCACGGCTTGCGCTAACAGAAGCCTCTGCGTGTGTGGGTGCCATCCACAGTGTGGGTTTGCTCTGGGAGGGACTGGGAAAGAAAGTGAAACCCAATTCATGGGGACCAGACGTGCAAATTAGACGCCTCACATTTACAGTGTAAGCTAATCATAACTAACTGAGCTAATGAAATAAAACATTAGCTAAAACAAAATGTTAGATAATGAATCTGGCTTTTCGTGCTATCACAGTGGCTCCTGGCTCCTGAATAGACTCCAGATGGTGGTCAAGACAAGGGACTGGGCTTCCGTGGGTGACCAGTGGCTTTTGGTGGTAGAATCCAAGACCAGGAAAAAGAGGAGAATCGATAAAGATGATGAATATGTGATAAAGATGATCTATAGTGACGGAGGAAGATAGGAGGAAATCAATTCTGTTTTAGGCATGTTTCATTTCATACAAAAGCAAGTTATCCAAGAACTTCATTTATGACTGATTATTCCGCATTCCTTCTCTCATTGAAAACTTACCAATACTCTGAGTTTAGGAGAAAATAAGATACCTTTTGAATTCAAGGTGATTAACTGCATTTAATAAAGTCTTAATTAATGGAAAACCCAACCTACTGAGATATTCAGATATCTCAATGTTTACTTATTTATTTTTATTTATTATTATTTATCTTAAGTTTTTAGGAGAAATTATTAACAAGCCACTTACTAAGAGTTTAGTTATTTAAAAATTCAGTGAGCATTTTAAGAGGTAAATGCATGGTCACCAGCCTCCATCTAATCTATCTTTCAATTTAAGATTCGATCAACAAGAATTAAGGTGTGACCTCATCACCTCGATATTACCAAAAGCACCAAAATCAAACAAATAATTCATTATCATTTCAAATTGCATCAGAATACAGAAAAGTTTACAAATATATTACAGAAGGATTTGAAAGTGATTCTGGCTGCATTCTATTAAGCAAGATACTGGTCCTGAATAATTTGATTCATTTATATTTTCAACATACATTTTTATTTTGATGTAAACGATACAGTAGAATTATGTAGCAGTTAAGAGAATTCACTCACTTCTAAACTCAAACTCTTATTTACACAGGAAGCTCAGCTACGTCAACGTCCAGGAATTTCTTTTTTAATAGTAATTCAGAAACGTACAGACTAAGTAATGAAATGTTTTTCATTCAGAAATTTGGTGTCACAGAGCAGCCTTTTCCTGAAAATCAGTAGACAGATCTGGTAAAACACTAAATATCGACCACTGGACAGTGTTTTACCTCTTATTTCACGGTGGCCAGCATTCTCGAAACTGGGTAACGGGTAAAGGCGAGTAAAAGTAACGCGATGGCCACTGTCCTCTCTGCCTCACGGGCGTGCCCGTCTCCCGCAGGTGTTCCTCAGCACCAGACGAGGGGTGTGGATTTTTCACCGCGTTTGGGACAACGGGTATCCCATGGATAGTATCTTCTTGACGCGGTTCAAATACTACCTCAGGAAGACAGCAGCGATAACACTGATGGACAAGCAGCTGGAGGCGATACTAACCACGAGATTCGACCACACGCATTACGGCCTGCAGCCCCGACACAGGTAGTAAGCGGGATGGCTCTGCGTCATTACGCGCATGCGCGCCATAAAACGATTCCGCTTCCACCAGCTGACGTTTATCGTGGTCGACTTCAGACATCTCTTCATAGAAACACACATTATAACACATCTGTGATATATGTTTGTTTTTATTTTTCTTTACACCTACAGCACCTGGGCTTCCTAGGTGGTCTCCCATCCAAGTACTAACCAGGCCTGACCCTGCTTAGCTTCCGAGATCAGACGGGATTGGGCTCATTCAGGGTGGCGTGGCCGTAGACTGTAATATATGTTTTTGCACGTAAACATGACTTTGTTTTCTGATGCCATTTTTCACTCTGTTATTCATTCGGCAATCATTTAATGTTGATTGTTAATGTGCCACACGCAAAAATAAATAATATGCTTCGCCTCCCTTTGACCAGACTTTAAGTCTAGAGGAGGGAGCTGGACATGAAAACAGATTAGAGCGAGGAAATTACAGAATGCAAGAAGCACATGAGTTTTCAAGATAAAACGTTAAGACTTCAAAACACATAGGGCTGAGGTAGCCGCTAAGGCACGGAGGGCACAAAATTTCTCTCCTCTATTATTAGAGGCAGAAAGTTGGATAAGCACAGATTTAGGGAGAAACACAAATTGTCAGCTTTAGGCCCTTTGCACATGTATGACTTTCTTCTAGTATATTTGTTTATGTGGGGTTTTTTTTATATCTATGTAGACCTTCAAATCAGGCTCCAATTTTCGGTGATGATCTGCCAAATCACATAATTTCTGGAAGAGTCCAAGTGAGGTCCAACGTGAAGGAGTTCACGGAAACGGATGCCATTTTTGACGACGGCAGCACAGAGGAGAATATCGATGTTGTCATCTTTGCTACAGGGTACAGCTTCTCTTTTCCTTTCCTCGACGGTCTGATCAATGTCACTAATAACGAAGTGTCCCTGTACAAACTTATGTTCCCCCCCAACCTGGAGAAGCCAACGCTGGCTGTCATCGGCCTCGTCCAGACCGTGGGCATCGTGCTGACGATAGCAGAACTCCAGTCTCGCTGGGCTACACGAGTGTTCAAAGGTACGTGAATCAGCGCTGCAGAAAGACCCAACGGTTCAGGTCACGTTACTCCTGCACCGAGCTCTCTCCTTTCGACACCATACGATTCCTTGGAATCCTGACCAACCCCAAACTGTCTGTTCTAGGGCTGAGCCAGTTGCCCCCAGTAAAGATAATGACAGCAGAGATCACCGAGAGGATGAAGGCGATAGAGAAACGGTAAATAAATAACGGGCAGCAGCTAGCTGGGGACTCTCGAAGGGATCATGGAATTCCTTTTCTGGGGTCAAAATCCGTGCTTCATCTCACACGACGATGTGAGTCTGCCCCTCCATCTCCTATGTTGTTATGTGACACAAGACCAAGCCCAGGTCTCGGTTATGCGACACGTTGCCATACATTTATTCTCTTTAAATCCTATGAAATCTGAATTTCCAGCAGCTAGCTGGGGACTCTCGAAGGGATCATGGAATTCCTTTTCTGGGGTCGAAATCCGTGCCTCATCTCACACGACGATGTGAGTCTGCCCCTCCATCTCCTATGTTGTTATGTGACACAAGACCAAGCCCAGGTCTCGGTTATGCGACACGTTGCCATACATGTATTCTCTTTAAATCCTATGAAATCTGAAGTCTCGGTCATTATCGATATTTCCTCCAGGGTCTCGGTGGGATCCAGGAAATGTATGTGATCCCCGAAAATGTGGGGATCATCTCTGCACTTCACCACATCACACTCCTTGCTGACACGCTCGTGTCTAGAGGGCGCTCTGTAGGTTTGGGGGGTTTGGCTTTCCTTCCGTGAGGAGGGTGAGACTCCAGCTCGGGGCCCAGTGCTCCCGGCTCCCCGCTCTGAAATCTTGCCATGGGCCCTAGAACCTTTCACGCCACACTTCTATTCACGCACGGTGTGAAGTCCCTCCCTCCCCATTCTTGCCTTCAAAGATATTTATCATATCCTCTTCCATGAGCCTAGAATTTAAGGAAATAATAGCTACAAGTGGAGATGTTTTGCAAGGAAGATGATTTTCAATCATGTAACAAAAAATGTCTGAGACAAGGAAACACGAAAGGCCGGACCACTTGGATAGAACAGGGGGAGAGAGCAACATAGACAGAAAATACGCAAATGAATATCTCAATTACTTCGCCACAGGTTTCAGGATTCTAAATACTCTAATGTGCATGCATGCGTTTTCGAGTAAAGAAACGAAATGCATTCCCATGAACCCACTCAACTTTATAATTAGTTCTACGAAAGCTACAGAAAACCAATGGTTGAGGAAGCATTCAAGGGCCATTCCTACCAACATTCGGAAGGAAAAGAGGCGAAACATTTCTAATTCATTCACTAAAAATTGATGTTGCGCAGGTTATGGCGGGCGCACTGGCCAGCACGTCCAGCGGGACAATGGAGAGAGGGTCGCTTTAGCCTCCTAGCCCTGTTTCTCCCCCTCTAAACTGGGTAGACATAAAGCTCTCTAGGTTTCGGACGACACTCAGCTCTGCCCTTCCCCCCGCTCCAGGTCCGTGAAGAAAATCAACGACAACATCCAAGTGAATTACATTGAGTACATGGACGAAATCGCCACCCAGGTGGGTGTGAAGCCCAATCTGCTGGTCCTCTTTCTCTCGGACCCGAAGCTGGCCATGGAGATTCTCTTTGGCCCATGCACCCCATACCAGTACCGGCTGCAGGGGCCAGGGAAGTGGGAAGGGGCCCGGAAGGCCATCCTCCCCCAGCGAGAGCGAATCATCAAGCCCCTGAAGACGAGAATCACTAGTGAGGACCATCGCCCGCCCTCACTGTTCTCCTGGATGAAGATGGCACCAGTCGGCCTGGCATTTCTGGTTGCTGGCTCGGTGTACTTGGCACATTTGTACTCTTTGCTGTGGTGAATGGAAATAGATGAATGAACATTGAGTAGAAAAAGCATGTAAGTTTCTACTCATCCTGGATCGTTATATTGTAGAATTATTAAGCCGGTAACATATGTTCAAAGTTATTTAGTACAAGTATAACTGCTACAGAAAATGTTATCTGGATACACTTGATAGATTTCTTTCGCTACAGAAAATGTTATCTAGATACACTTGATAGATTTCTTTCTTTAAAAATACGTATATGTCATACTTCTAGTTGTAACATGAATGCAAATGCACAACAAAAGCTCATCAGGAAGAGGTGTCCTGTCTTAGCCGTAAGAATTTGCTGGCAACATAAAGTAAACCAAAATTGTTTTCACGAAGCCAGACTTTCCTTGAAGGGATTTATAAATAAAATTATACTTTATCATTGATTTTATTTTCAAGGTTATCTTTTCTTCCTCTGAGTAATTCTATCAAATTCTCATCCAGAATGAAAAAACTTACTTTTTATACTGCTTTTTGTTTGTTTGTGTTTAATGCTGACGTTTACAGCACAGACATGAAAAATCACAGGGAAAAATATTTTAGGCTTTAGTTTACTGGACACTAAATATGGTTTTCTTTTAAGTTCATCTGAAAACAACCCCTTTATTTTGAAGAAACAAGTAAAGAAAAGAGTGCAATGTATCTCAGACCTTTCGATAAAGTTTCACCATTTAGAAATAAGCAATTATATTATATAAACAGCTACATTATATTAAGACAAGTCTAGATCCGTGCCTCCCCATAAACTGGAGAGATGTGATTTGGGGGTGCCAGCAGGGTTCTCGGTCCCCAGATGCCTTCTCCTCCCACTAACCGACTTTGTGAGGTCCTCCCCGCACTCACAAAGCCCGTTAGTTAGCCGTTCTTCCTGTGTCCCTGATAACAGAATTCTCTGCTGCGTCCCTGTCCTGTCGAGGTCAGATCCCAAGTTAGAGCCTGACCTTTGACACAAAGCTACCAAGACGGCCTAAGCAACAGAAGTCTCCCGGAACCCACGTACTGTGCCTCGAAGCTTACCCAAGGCACACCTGGGAAATCGCCCAAAAAAATACTTTTCGTCTTCTTTAAAGTCTCTGTACTTTCACTTCTTAGAGAATTCTGTGGATTTCTGAATCCCAAGGGTTACAGTTCTGAAGGTGTCCCTCAGAAACATTCATTTCGATGATGCTGTTTCGTGAAAGCTAAAGACCAAAAACTTGTTGAACTGACTCTAGAAATAAAAGTTTTCCCGGAGATGAGGCTGTGATTCCATGTCCTCGAGCACCTTTTCCGGTCCAAGGCATTTACCGTGCGCATCCTGGGACCGGCTGTGGGATGCTCTGCGTCTGACACCGCAGGGTGAGGAGGCTGCTCCAGGTACCAGAGGAGCCAAGGCTAGATGCAGACCCCAAAATCTATCAGACGCCACTAGGGAGCCCCACGTGGTGACACCCAGTCAGCTGTGCTCACTGCCAAGAATGGGTCCTTCTGCGAGGCTTGAAAAGGCAACACCCAGCAGGGAGCTGCACCCAGTGAAAGCTGAACAAATACTTGTGAGGGAAGACCTCCCACCAGGCCTGGAGAGAGGTACCTATGAGGAGCGTTTGTAAGCTTAGAGTTTTTGACAGCTGGTTTTCCTGAACTTGGAAGCAGTCTATTTCAAAATAATGATACTTACAAATGTGGAACACTTTGAAACGTGAACTAATTACACTACATAATTACATAACGTCCTTTAGACACCAGGAATCGGGAGCATCTCTTGTGTGTGAGGTGGAGATGGGCGTGTGTAGCCGGCTGGCCCAGGGCGCCACCTGAGTTGGGAGAAAGAACCAGGAACGGCCAGCAGTAGATCTGTGGTTTGAATCACACAGCTGCACTGTCACCATTCCCAAAGCCTTGAAGGAAACCCAGTGGGTCAGTAACCAGTTTGCTGCTCGTAAACGCCACCTCGGAGACAGGGAGTCACAGGCCCGCAGTGTTCCCAGCTTGTTGGAATTCAAGTGGGCATTACAATGGGTGGCTCATACCTCAGTGCCCCTGCTGGGTACAGTTCAGAGCATGAATAGGTCCTTATAGTCTCTGAAAACCCCTCCCTTCGCTGCAGTAGGCGGGCGTTCTATTTAATTAGCAGACAAAGCCAGTCGAAGCATAAACCTACTCAGAATCCCCAAGAAGCACCGCTGTTTCAACACTGTGCTAGAGGTATTTTCCACTTAATGCAATTTCGCTCATTCTCTTATTTATTCGTCAGTACAACAAACACTTCCTGAGCTCCAGGCACCGGGGATCTAGCAGGAAACAAGACAGCCGAAGTGCCTGCCTTAGCCCACAGCCTACGGGGAGACGGGCATGAAACAGGCAGATAAACATAATGGCCGGGAAGAAAAAGAAAGGAAGAAACGGAATAGAAAGTGTTTCTGATGCATATAAAGACCCGAACAATTTTTCCACAAAATTGGAACATACCATACCTACTTTGTTGTATTTATTTCGGTAACCCACCAATTGTTGGAATTTAGTTTGTTTCAACATAATAAAAACAACTGACCAGAAATGAATGGCCTATGAGATAGTAGATAAGAAAGACTGTAAATAACTGAAAAGCCTAATGGCTGAGAAATGCGTCCACGATGCAAGTGTCACTGTCGCTGCCACGCCATCAGTTTGCTCTCAGCCTGTCACCGCACGTCACTCCGATCATTCCCGCGGAGTAACTGTGGGTTCCCCCGCAGCTTCTGCCATTGCCACGCAGGAAGGAATTCCATATCTACTGTTCTTGGCACCGGGAACCAAGAAAGAACGACTGAGCAGGAAATGCCATCCGGCCGCCTCCTTAAACAGACAGATCCCGTCCCGACCACAAGATGAACCTTCCTTCCCCCTGGCGTCTGCCTCGGCCTCACCTCTGCCTTCGCGTGGATCCCCCGTCCCATCTGCTCTCTGCCACACCCGTTACAGCTCGTCTGCACCCCTGTCTTGAAAACTTGAGGCGACCTAGGCATACGGCAATTCCCACGGGAACACCCGTGCAGGCGCACGCACTGGGACTCAGGACAGTGGGCGGGACGAGCTGAAAGAAGAGCCTGGTCCAGGCCACCACGTCGTCCCCTGCTGAATCAGGGCTTCGCAGGGGAGCCGGGCTCTGCTGCATCTCCCTTCCCACCCCGTCCCGATTTTGCTCCCCACTCCTCAGTCCTTGCTGGACTTACTCCTCGGCCCCTCACTTACAGCCCCGGGCCCCTCTGTGCCGGCCTCGCGTGCCTTCTTGTTGGGGTGACCTTCGAGACTCCCTTCCCGGTTATCTCGGACAAGTGCTTTCTAGCAAAGCTTTATTCTGTTCATTCCACCTCCCCACCCCCAACGAAAGCTCGAAACTTCTTAAAATATAGCTTTCTGGAGCCTTTTCAGGTCAGGATGGACAGCCCAAAGTTCAACTAAACATACAAACATTTTCAAAGTTGAAAATAAATGTATAACTAATATAAACCGCAGCATAAATATTTGACTTAAACATATCTGAACAATGACTCTGTAGGCGTGCTCAGTATGAATTAGCATATTCAAGAAATTTGAATGAAAGTGTTTTCCTTTATTTTCCCAGAATGGGGACATCTGTGGATTGTGAAACTGCAGAATTTGTTCCAAATTGGAAAGAAAGTTGGAAAGAGAACACCAGGGAGGCAGCAGGTGGAGGAAAAGGCCTAGAAATGTCTTTGAGACTACGACGGGCACACCACTGCCACCTGGTGGCAGAATTATGACCCACAGAGGCAGAGTGACAAGGTAGGAGAGTCCCTTCCATCCGCACGTTTGCAGAATCCAGACTAAGCAGTGCGCCCTGTCTGTGCCGCCTCATTAGGTCTTTAAGGACAAATCTGGGGCAGATGAGCGACAAACCACACGACAAACCGTGCGGACGAGACCTGGGGCGAGAGGGCGCTGACTCAGAGCTTTCTGAGATGGCGACGTCGTGGACCTGTTCTCCGGTGTGAACCTCTGCCCTGTTGCGTCTGCCGTTCCCGCACCGGCCGACGCGTGAAAAAGCCCGAGGGACGACCAAGGGGACAGCAGGGCTGAAGCAACACGCAAGGCCACGCGCGCACCATGCGGCCATTCCCAGTATCCTCACCAGGGACAGGTGATGACACGGACTCGACATAAACAAATATGCAGAATCCCCGGCGATTCTGCGTACGAACCAACGGCAGCTAACGATAAAATGGAGCGACTGTAACGACACGCTGTGACACACGTCACGTGACTGCGGTGACTGCCACACTCACCTTCCCGGGACGCTGTGAGATGACACGACGCCGAGGTGACGAGATGAAGGGAGCCGAGGGACGCGGGCCTGGTGACGGCGTCGGGCGGCAGCTGGCCCGGCGACAGCCGACGCGTAC